CTCCCTCCCTCCCATTTTTCACTCTCATTCTCTTTATTTCTTTTCACCCTCTTTCTCTCTTTCTCATTCTTGTGCATGCATGCATAAGCACACTTAGGGGCCCAGGAGCCCAAATGACAATTTGAGTATTTGCTGTCTCTCTCTCTCTCTCTCACACACACACACATGCTCGTGCTTGCATGCGCTGGTATTCATAGGCACCCATGCGCCAAATGGCCCGTGGTTTGAAAGCTGACAATAGTATAGTGCTTGCATTGTAAATGTTTGATTGACCTTTTTTTATTTTATTTTTTGGCTTTTGAGTTTCTAATATATATTTTTAATAGGTACAAGTTTGATGATGAGAGGGTAACAAAAGAAGATGTGAAAAGGGCGCTAGAGGAGCAGTATGGTGGGGAAGAAGAGGTGTTTATTGCATATTGCTATAAGGCCTCGGCTTTTATTTGAGCCGCACTTTATTATATTTACTTTCTAACCTTTTTTCCTTTCTATGCTTATTTGCCTTCTGCAGCTGCCACAGACAAATCCCGGATTTAATAATACTCCGTTTAAGTTTACGAAGTATTCAAATGCCTATATGCTTGTTTATATTCGTGAATCTGACAAAGACAAGATAATTTGCAATGTTGATGAAAAGGATATCGCTGAACACCTTAGAGTAAGACATTTTCTGAAAAATTTTAATTAGTAATTTGAAATTTACGGGGAGTTTATATTTACAAAGGAAGTCCCTTCAATGGCCGAAGGCCTGACGTGGCTTGGCTTTTCGGGATAGTTTTGAATGTTTTTTTGGATGGCTTTAGGCGTTACCCTTTTACATGTGTGAAATTCTAAATTTCCTTATAATGTTTGTCATTTAAAAGTTGAAGAAACTGTTTACCAGTTAGCTTTGATTTTTGCGATTTAAGTGGATGGAGCTTTAGATCCTCATATATAATTTTGATTTTGAAGCAAATTGAATAATTAAAATCCATAGAAAAGGTACAATAAATCAAAACTTTGAGAATATATTTTTTTTTCCGTGGCTAATGTGTTAGGCATTTATTAAATAAATGGGAAAATTACATACTTAGATCCATAGGTAAAGTGCTATGTGGGTAAAAAAGAAAGCTTAGGTGTTAGGTAAATATGAAAAATTTGGGTGCTATGTATGTAGAAGCCCCTAAATAAATTGCATAAACTTCTATTCTTATTTTATGGAATTTGAGCTTGTTTTTGTTAAAAAAATATTTAAGAAAATATTGCTAGAGCTTGTTCAAGTTTTTCTTATCTAGTTTGAGTTGAGATTGCACATGAACCAAGTTTTAAGGCCTTGTTCAAGCTTGTTTATTAGCTTTTTGGATAGCATTGAGCCATATTCAAGCCTTAAGTAACCGAATTAATCATGCGTTCAATTTTAATGATTAAAACATATAATATATTGGACATAATTGTATCTATGGATTTTAATCAAGATCAACATAATTAGCTAGGTATCATGTAAACTATCTTGTGAATGTTTAAATATTAATTAGAAAATATTTTAACTTATATAGCTTGCTTTTTGTTTGAATTTTTTTAATCTTTCTTTATTTGTAATAATACACCTAATTTTTAAACTATGTATTTTATACAAAAAATACATACATAAACATAAAAAATCACTAAATAAATAATTAGGCTGTTATCAAATGCATTTTTTTTTCAGTTCTTGGGGATCCATTGTTAAGCAACAAATGAGCATGAACTCTAAAATAATGAACCATTTGGTTAAGTGGGTTAACTTTCAAACTTGTTCTATCATGTAAACAAACTAACATAAACGTCTTTTATCTATTTGAAATTTTGAAAAAGCTGTAGGAAAAGAGAAGGGATACACTTTTACCTTAATTTTATTTTACAAATCTTCTTTTCATCATGAGATTTCTTCAAATTAAATAGATTTTTTAAATTTAGATTTTGTATTTGCCATCTAGTATTTATTTTTTTCATACTCCCAACCATCACCTGTCATAAATTAAACTACCAGTCTACCACTCAAATTTAAATCTATTTGTGATTTCCTTACAAACAATGTAATTTGTATTGGTTCTTTTTATATTCACGGTTTGTAAATATCGGTTGTTCTACATTCACTTTATTACCTATTATTTAAATGTTCTAACATTTAATGCTGAAGGCTCCTGTGACTTCTGATATATTTTTTCAGATAAGATTGAAGAAAGAACAAGAGGAAAAGGAGCACAAGAAGAAGGAGAAAGCTGAGGCCCACCTTTTTACCATTATAAAGGTCTTATTTTTATAAAGCTTTGTTATTTTTCTAGTTGAATTTTTGGCTCTACCTTCTTTCTTTTGAATTTTCTTTTGATATAAATAGGTAGCTAGAGATGAAGATTTGGCTCAACAGACTGGAAAAGATATATATTTTGATTTAGTTGATCATGAAAAAGTTCGCAGTTTCCGCATACAGAAGCAAGTGCCGTTCAACCTTTTTAAGGTAATTATTTCAAGTTTATTTGTGTGAATATGAAAATTTAGGTGTGAGATATGTAAATACATTAGACTAATGCTCTATTTTTTTGTTGGTAATACAATGAGAGGGATTTTATGTATTGTGTGATTAAAACAAATTTGACTGTTATTGAAAATTAAGTTTCTTAATATTTCATCTTATGAAAATAAGATGGATCAAGCTACGTCCTTCTTATGATAATGATATCTTTATGGGAGGAGGGAAAGTGGCAATGACAAATATGATATGATACCCAATAATTTTCATGCTTGTCCCACGTCAAATTGCAGATTATTTGTATTATGTTTCTAGCTTTGCTAATGAACTAGTTTTCAATTTATAATTTTTTGTTGGTAAATATTCTAAAGGTTAATGCATGTAGTGTCATTTATATTTTGAAGCATTACCAGACAATTCTTATGTTTTTACATACCTAGCACCCAAACATTTATATTTACGTGCATACCACTCAAATATTTAATATTACATAAAAAATACCACCATCACTACTTTTTAAAAGTGACATACACCTTTAATGCATAGGTTTATGACTCTAAAGTGTTGAAGTGTAAATATCATACTTTGGGTGTTAGATATGTAAATATATAAGAGTTGTGTGGCATGTATGTAAAAACCCTTATATATTTCTGATGAGTCAGAATCTCAGTTGTTATTAAACTTATTGGTAGCATTCACTATAGCAGTTGAACTGAATGATAGCTGTATACGTTCAAATAACTTAGCTTCAACTTCTAAGAATTAATTTAATTTTGACTTCCATTTATTTATAACAATAAAGTGGTCCACAGGATGAGGTAGCGAAGGTATTTGGTGTCCCGGTTCAATATCAGCGGTTTTGGTTGTGGGCTAAGCGGCAGAACCATACCTACCGTCCCAACAGGCCGTTACTTCCTCAAGAGGAAGCACAATCTGTAAGTACATAGTATTAGGCCTGTTTTTATCATTTTGTTTGCCTAGAAGCATGTATTATATGTCGTATTCAACCCTACTAAAGTAATATATATATATATA